GCGCCATCCCGACCAGCACCACTGCCGCCGCCACCCCCACCGCCGCCGCCGTTGCCGCCACCTCCACCCCCACTGCCGCTGCCTCCGCCGCCTCCACCTCCACTTCCGCCACCGAAGCCCCCACTCTCGCCACCACCCCCACCTCCACCCCTACCCCCTCCGCCGCCTCCACCTCCACCACCGCTGCCCCCGCCGTCTCCTCCACCACCCTTGCCCCCCTTGCTTTTGCCGCTGTGGTGCCTCCCACTAGGAGGAGACGCAGCGCCGACCGACTCGGTGCCAATGAGGTCGACAGCAGCAGCAGAGGCAATAGAGGGCAAAAGGGGAACGGGGGAGCACCCCTCAAAGAAAGGGGCACGAGGGTCACCACGAGAGGCTCCTACAGCGACTATACTCAACTCAGCTGCTAGGAGGCGCTCCTCGAGGAGGTCAACGGTGAGCCTGGTGGGGCAAAGGGAGAGGAAGTGGTCCGTGACCGAGCGAAGGGAGTCAGGGAGCCGAGTGACGAGGTAGTAGAGAGTGATGTACATAGGGGGGGGTTGGCAGCGCAGAACTTGGCAAGAAGTGCAGCTCGGAAGCGGGTGTCACTAGTGCGGAGGTGCGTAATGAGGTCAGCGACTGTGGCAAAAGCGGCTAGGTCAGGGAACAGGTACGGCAGCATGAGGCGGCTAAGGGCAGCAGTGGCAGGGGAGGAGTAGCGCGCAACAACAGCATCGTACAGAGTCCTAGCGGTCTTATACTGGCTAAAGTGTGCCCGCTCAGCAGACAGCACGTGACTACGAATTGCAAGACGGGCAGCAGCATCGCCCGTGGTCCACTGCGAGTGAACAGTACTGTCAGCATCAGCAGCAGGTGCAGTAGAGGCGTCAGACGTAAGATCAAAAAGCAAGACAGTAGGGGCCGCGATGGCAAGGGCCGCGACTGCAGGGGCCGCGATGGCAGGGGCCGCGACTACAGGGCGGCGCGACAGCAGAGGCCGCGACGGCAGAGGCCGCAACGGCAGGGGGCCTCGACGGCAGGGTCGCGACAGCAGGGGCTTCAACAGCAGGGGCCGCGTGTGCAGGGGCCGCGATGGTCAGGGGCTGCGACGGCAGGGGGCGCGACGGACAGGGGCCACGACGGCAGGGCCACGACGGTAGGGGCCGTGACGACCGGGGGCCGCGACGGCAAGGGCCGCGACGGCAGGGGCCGCGACGACCAGGGGCCGCGACGGCAGGGGCCGCGACGACAGGTGGCGCGACAGCCAGGGGCCGCGACTGCAGGGTCACGATGGCTCTAGACAGGGCCGCGACAGCAGGGTAGGCGCACAGGGCACAAGGGAGGAAGGCGCACGGGGCGCAGGTAAGGCAGGCGCGAGGCGCTCGACAGGGCAGGGAGCGCACTTCGGGTAGGACAGAAAAAAAAATATTAAGTGGTGGGCCCTTTAAAAAAACGGTCCCACTAGGGAACCCACTCTATACCATGTGAAGAATGAACGAGGGAATGAATCAACTAGGAAACAGGTGGGTACAAATGTGAAAGCCTAAAAGAATTGTACCCCATATTGACAACCCCACTACAGCCTACAATATGGTTCTGACACGAGGCGCCTCTCCCAGGTCGGTCAGTAGGTAGGTGAGCCAGCGTAACTCCTGTGCAGCCATGGCCCATGCGTAGATCTCAGCCTCACAACTGGAGCTGAGAACAGAAGACGAGTGGGTAGACCGCCACGAAACAGAGTCGGTGCCAAGGCTGAAGGAGTAACCCTGTGACGACCGCTGCGTAGCCAAGTCGTCAACCCAAGAAGCGTCTGCGTGACCAATGAGGACAACTCGACTCCGTCCTCCAAGCACGAGCCACATGCCCGACGTACTGCACAAGTAGCGCATCACCCTCTTAGCGGCCTTCTAGTGCTCTGGTCGGTATCTCCCGGGCGCAACGTAGCGGGCCAGAATGCTAAGAGGGTAAGCAAGGTCAGGTCGAGTGCAGGTCATTAGGTACATGAGGCAGCCCACAAGCTCTGGATACAGGCCACTCGGCTCTACGGACTCATCCGAAGGCAGAGCTGAGAGTGAGTGACCAGTAGGCAGAGGAGTGGCCTGTGGCGAGGAGTACGGGAAGTCGAGCGCTGAAGAAACTGCTGCACCATGTGTGACTGAGTCACGGTAATGGTGCGCCGTGCTCTGTCCCGGGTGATCTGCAAGCCAAGATAGCTGCGCAGCTCACCCAGGTCTGTCTACGCATGTCTCTTCTACAGCTCCGACTTCACTAGAGTCAGTGCCTCAGTGTCAGCAGTGGCAAAAACCAAGTCGTCAATGTACACGAGGGTGGAGAATGGCGGCAGCAAAGTGTCGGTGGGTAGAAACAGCGACGGGTCAGCAGTAGAGGGAGCAAAGACAAGAGCCGCAAGGGTCGTCCTCACTGTGTTGTGCTACTCGCAATGCGCCTGGCGGAGACCGTATACTGGCCGCCGGAGGCTCCACTGGGTACCAGGAGGAAACGACCCAGTGAAGCCAGGTGGGCGGCGTAGCCAGATCTCCTCGTGCAGGCTGCCCTGTAGGAAAGCTGTGCTGAAGTCAGGAGAGTGAAGCTCGTAGTCACGCTGAGCAGCGACGTGCAGCAGAAGAGTGATCATCTTCGAGGTCGGGGAGAAGGTCTGGAAGAAGTCAACTCCCTGTCGCTAACTGAAGCCTCAAGCAACGTAACGCGCCTTCAAGACAGGCGGAGAACCCGGCGGCCGCTTCACCCTGAAAATCCACATGACATTGACAATGTTCGCCCCAGGAGGGGGAACCTCATCGACGTAGGTGTCTGTGGACTTCCAGGATGCCATCTCTGCGTCCATGGCTGACTGCCACTGAGAGGAGTAGGGACCCTCTATCGCCTCTGCGTAAGAGCGCGGGGTCGGGATGTCTGGTGCATCCGGGTCTCCCTCGGGGGCAATCAGCTTAGACACGAGATGAGGTACAGTAGCTGCAAAGCACTCAAAGTCCTCCTGCCTGTCCTCAACGACGTTCATGCCAAGAGCACACTCACCCTCGATGGACGGAGGACAGACAGACTCAGACTCAGCAATAAGACTAGCGGCGTAGTCTAGACGACAGCGATCAGCAAAGTCGACAAGCTCAGCAACTAAGGCAGACACAGCTGTGGACTCACAGGAAGGGTCAGTGACAACAGTAGCTAGCGGGCGCGTGACGGTAGGGCTGGTAGAACGAAGTGAGTAAGACTCAGGGTCCGGACCGTCAGCAAGGGAGGACGCAAGAAGAGACGGCAGAGGGATACACAGTGGAACAGAGGAAGGACGAAGTGCCATCTGGTGCGTGCCGGGATCGGGAGGAGGAAGCGGACTCGGAACACGACAACTAGTGCGAGCAGCGCGAACAGGCGACGCAGGGCGAGACGCAGGCTCACGACGCTCAGCAAGACCTCCGGTCGGTCCAGTGTAAGGAGAAGGAGCAGGCAGTGGGGAGGCCGACGGTAACTGCCACTGCGACTGGACACGCGGTGGACACTCGAAGGGAGGAGTAGGACTAGTAGAAGGCGGAAGACCAAGAACCTGAAGGAGTGGAACGAAGTACGGTCGCGGCCGTGCAACACCACCAGAACCAGCAGAGACGGATCCAGCACCCCCAGCTTTAGGGTCTCCAGCTCCAACTCCCGCAGCACCTCCAGCTCTAGCGCCTGCAGCACCACCAGCAGGAACAGCTCCAGGGCCTCCAGCTCCAACTCCTGCAGCACCACCAGCAGGAACAGCTCCAGCGCCTCCAGCTCCAACTCCTGCAGCACCACTAGCTCCAGCACCAGGAGCACATCCAGCAGAAACTGCTCCAGCGCCTCCAGCTCCAACTCCTGTAGTACCACCAGTCCTAGCAGCTCCAGTACCTCCAGTACGAGCACCTCCGGGACCAGCGGCACCAGCACCTCCAGCAGCTCCAGCAGCAGCAGGACCTCCAGCTCAAGCAGCACGGCTCCAGCGCCGAGCAAACCACTCGCGCAGTTGCGGTGGAGAGAGTGGCTCCCGCCGGGACAAGACACCCTGAGGAACTCCAGCGGACACAGTGCCTCCAGGCTCAGCACACTCAAGCGCAGCACCCTCAGACTCAACAACCCCAGGCTCAGCACCCTTAGACTCAGCAACCCCAGGCTCAGAACCCCAAGGCTCCGCACGCTCAGGCTCAGCACCCCCAGGCTCCGCACCCTCACACTCAGCAACCCCAGGCTCAGCACCCTTAGGCTCCTCACGCTCCGGCTCAGCACCCCCAGGCCCCGCACCTTCGGGCTCAGCACCCCTAGCAGTACCAGAGTCGACAGCTACCTCGCCAGGCTCGACAGGGTCTACCTGGGACACACCTGAGGGGGCAGTACCCTGAGGGGGGAGGGGGTCTACCAGAGGAGGACCTGGTGCTAGGAAGAGCGGCGGGGGGGGGAGGGGGGCAGTGCGGTAGGGGAAGAGACGGTGAAGGGAACCGACTCGTCAAACGTGACGTCCTGAGAGGACAAAACACGGCGCGAGGTGGGGTGGTAAAACTGCCAGCGAGGCGCGTCAGGGGGGGAGCCAAGGAAGACGCAGGGAACAGCACGGGAGGACAGCTTGTCCGCGGAAGAATCGCGGACAAAAGCTCGAGATCCTCAGACACGGAATGCAGACGCATCACAACCCTTCACCGTCTACCGTAGAGCATGTGTGGTCTCTGAAAAGGAGGCACAGGGCTGGAGGTTGAGCTGATGCGCAGCGTACTGAACCGCGAACGGCCACAGAAAATGGGGAGCAGCCGCATGGATCATGGACGTACGAGCGACGTCCATGACCATGCCAATGCGGTGCTCAGCAATCCCTTTTTGCTGTGGAGAGGCCGGAAGCGTGAACGTCCGGCGGAAGGAACGCAGGTAGGGGCAGGCCCCTGGGGAAGGGGAGGGAGAGACCGGGAAAGACCAGTGACAAGGACACGGGAGGCCATGCCTCGGAGACGAGGCAGGGAGGGGTGACCAAGGCGGTGGTGCCAGAGGAGAGTCTGGTGTTACAGGAGACGACACGAACAGGGGGCAGACTCCGTACCAGACCTGGACTCAGCAGCAAACACCTGACCAGACGCAGCTAGTGGAGGGGACGCAGTAGTTTGGGTGTACAGGCTCGACCCAGGCTGACGGGTAAACGTGGCGAGGTGGCTGCCCGTCCTAGTACACGTACAGTGGGTCACCCGCTGACCACCAGGAGTGAACTGGTCAACCCAAACGTCCTGGAGGTCAGCTCCACTCACCAAGTTCGTACAGAACGAGGGGAGGTGGAGACCTGACAGTGAGCGAGACGGGACCGCCAGACACGGCAGAACCGTGGAAGATTGTGCAAGGACTGGGCCCCCAGAGGGGTCCGCTAGGGAGACAGCAACAGGCGGACTAAGCGGCGTGAGTGTGGTGCAGTCGCGAAAGAAATAGCGGGAAGCACCGGAGTCAAGAGTGAAAGTGTGCAAGGCCTTAGCAGGCGCAGTACCTGAGAGAGCAGACTCACCAGCACCTGGAGCAGCAGGCTCACTAGTACCTGGAGCAACAGACTCACTAGCACCTCGAGCAGCAGCCTCTATACCTGGGTCAGGCGGCACACACAGGTAACAGTCACCCTCAGCACTTATTGTCGCAGCATACATGGCAGCAAGGATAGCAACACCAAACCTAAGTAGATCAGCCCAGCGAGGGAGCTCAGTAGCGTCAGGAAACTGTGCGTGCCAGGTATCAGACAGGCGGCCGAAACAACGTTGCGTAGTGTGCGGCAGCCCGCACGTCTCCCCACGGCGGTCGCCTGTGCGAAGAACGTAAGCGCAGGGACCAGCAACCCCAGACCTCCCACGCCCAGCGTACCACTCCCGAAGTTGCTGGGGCGAAGGGGCCTCACGGGAGCGCGGCTGCTGCTGGCGCTGGCCACCACCAAAGCCTCCACGCTGCACTGCTCTACCTCGACCAGCACCACCGCCGCCGCCACCCCCACTGCCGCTGCCACCGCCGCCTCCACCTCCACCGCCGCCACCTACGCCCCCGCTCCCGCCTCCACCCTCACCTCCACTCCCACCCCCTCCACCTCCTCCACCGCCACCACCGCCGCCCCCGCCGTCCCCTCCACCACCCTTGCCCCCCCTGCCCTTGCCATTGCGGCGCCTTCCACTAGGAGCAGACGCAGCCCCGATCGCCTCGGTGCCAACGAGGTTGACAGCAGGAGCAGAAGCAACAGAGGGCAAAAGGGGGACGGGGGAGCACCCCTCAAAGAAAGGGGCGCGAGGGTCGCCGCGAGACGCTCCTATAGCGACTATGCTAGTCTTAGCTGCAAGGAGGCACTCCTCGAGTAGGTAGACGGTGAGCTCAGTGGGGCAAAGGGAGAGAAAGTGGTCCCTGACTGAGCGGAGAGAGGCAGAGAGACGGGTGACTAGGTAGAAGAGGGTGATGTACATGGGGGGGGGTTCTTGTCGCAAAACTCGGAGGGAAGCGCAGTGCTGTAGCGGGTGTGACTAGTGCGGAGGTGAGTGATGAGGTCAGCGACTGTGGAAAACGCGGCTAGGTCAGGGAACAAGTACGGCAGCATGAAACGGCTGAGGGCAGCAGAGGCAGGGGAGGAGTAGCGTGCGACAACAGCATCATACAGAGACTTAGCAGTCTTGTACTGGCCAAAGTGCGTGCGCTCAGCAGACGGCAGGTGACTACGAACAGCAAGGCGAGCAGCGGCGTCACGGGTAGTCCTCTGCGAGCGAACTGTACTGTCAGCGTCGGGAGCAGGTGCAACAGAGGCGCTGGACGTGTGATCGAACAGTGAGACTCCGTCCTTGGAGTCGCACTGAAGATAGAGCTGCAAGTCATCTACCCACACCTCAAAATCGACCGCACGGCCGTCAGCATCGAAGGTAAACAAAGTAGGACTAGCCATGGCGGCAGTAGCAGTAGGGAAGGGCGGCACGACACGGCAAGGCGGCGCGGCTCGGCAGGGCGGCGCGGCTCGGCAGGGCGGCGCGGCTCGGCAGGGCGGCACGGCTCGGCAGGGCGGTGCGGCTCGGCAGGGCGGCGTGGCTCGGCTAGGTGGTGCGGCGCGGCAGGCAGGCAGGCGCAGCAGCGTGGGGCGGGCGCTTACTAGGGGCGGGTGCAGGGTAGGGCCGCGACCGGCGGGTAGGGCAGGGCCGGTACAGGGCGGCAGCTGGGCAGGGCTGCAACTGGGCCGATGCGGGGAAGGGCCGCGACGAGGCGGCATAAGGGTAGGGCCGCGAATAGCGGCAGCAAGGCAGGGTCGCGACGGGCGGCAGGGCCAGGCCGCGGGGGGCGGCTAGGGCTGGCCGCGAAGGGCAGCGTCAGGGCAGGGCCGCGACAGGCGGTTAGGACAAGGCCGCGACGGGCCGCGAAAGGGCAGGGCCGCGACGGGTCGTTAGGGCAGGGCCGCTACGGGCCAGGAGGGCAGGGCCGCTACGGGCGGCAGCAGAGCAGGGCGCGCGACGCCGCGTTTGAGGCAGGCGCGAAGCGCGCTTCGGGCAAGGAAGGAAAAAAAAAACTATTCGTGGTGGGCCCTAAAAAAAAAACGTTCCCCCTAGGGAACCTGCTCTGGAACCATGTCGAAGTTAGGAACGAAGAAGTGACTAGAAACACAACAGTACAAGGTTTGTATAGGCAAAACCTAATTTGGGCTGTACCCCTTAAGGAGTGCCCCACTATAGCCTAGAGCATAGTTCTAACAGATATTGCGGTTCAGTCTTACATGGAAGACCTGGCTCAACGAGCATTCCCACAACCAGCTGATGGTGTTGACCCTGGTCGTAATGTGGTTCGTCGTGCTCGTAGCACTCGTCCTAAGAAGCACTCCATAGCAACGAGGATGTTGCCAGTTGGAGGAGGAGGAGTGTAACATCTTGACCCACCCACCTGGTCTTGATACGTCGAACCAGCTGTGAGGGGGAAACAAGGGGAGAAACATGATTGGTTGGAGTTTGATTGGAAGCGAGGAATTTGGGATTGACTTGATTGGAAAACTCGCCAATTAGAACTCTGCTATACAATTGTGACAGACGCTACGCGATAGGTTTGAAAACAACCCACGTAAGTTCAAACATCACCCTTGCCCAACCATGAGAAAAGAGAACGAGAATGATTGAACTATGAACAGTTGGGTACAAGTACTAACCCTAATTGGGTTGTACCCCTTATGGGCTGCCCCACTACAGCCTACACAAAAGTATAAGCTATAATGTTCTGACAAACCAATCAAAACATACTCACACAAAGTGAGTCGACGGAACTTCCGCCGCTGGTTGGAAAAAGAACTAATCAGAAACATGTCGGAATTACGAACCACTAGACCATTGGGATAAAAGGGCTTGTTAAGGTAGCGGGTCAGTGCGCCCATAACCCCCCAGGCCAACATGCCTATAACCCTTCCCTAGGATCAATCGGGGTTCACCAGTGGACCTCTGACAAAACAACCAACCTAAATCCAACTCAACTCTTCCTTGAAATTGCATCCAATGCAACAACTCAAGTTTGTGATATCCTTGCTGTCTATTGTATAATTCGTTGGGAACTCCAACCATTGCCACATGGGCAAAGACCCATGGTGGTGCACCCTTCCTTGCCATGGGGAGGGTGGCTGCACCCCAAGGGGTTCTAGGGAGGGGTCTGAGCCAAGCTAGCTCATTCTCCACTTCCTATCCCGAACTAATCAATTGGGAAATAGGATTTCTCTCTTCTCAACTCACCTTCCACAGTTTGTGACAGGGTCATCTAGCACTTTCCAGACTTAGTAATTTCCAGGAGCTGCTACTCTCTGTTTCTTTTAGAACCTACTATTAAATGGGTAAATGCCATTTTTATTAGCAGATCCGTTACACCCGCGCTCCTCGCAAAACCCGGCGCCGCGCTTCAAGGCGACTCAACAGTGCGAATCTCTGAATTGTTCATCTCCAACCCTTATGCTTTTGATACCCAGTGCGTGAATTCGACGTTGCCAAGTGGCACATATGACGCCGAGATCACGTGGGGCTATTATCCTGGCCAGCCAACGTGCTTCAACATGTCCTTCTATTCCTTCCCAAGCTGCGTGGGAGTTTCCTTTCTGTCGAAACTGTGCCCTTTATCCAACACTAATACCAAGTGGTGAGCTTGCACCTGCCGCTCAACAATAGTGCCGCCTTTCTTTGGCGGCACTTGGACCACAAAGGTTCTCACCTGCCGCTCAGTTTGTTTCTTTTGTTGAAACAGTTGGTTAATTTCTGTTGTTCTGCCACGTGTCTAAGTTCTTATTGTTTCCTGTGCTCCCCTGCCGCCCCCATGTCCTGGCTGCTGCTGCTCCCAGGACGCTCTCCCAGAAGCCAGCGTCAGTGTTTTGCCAGGGTAAGGTTGCACGACTGGCCCCACAGTCACTTCCAAGTTGTGACACTTGCTTGCCCATCATGCTAGCGCAATGCACATACCAAGGCCCCTCGCATACAACGTGCCGCTGGGACTCATGGGATGTGTGCTGTGGTGTGGTGTGTGATGTCCAGTGGGAAGGCCGATGCTGAGGTTCATTCAGCATCACACACGCCGTGTTTGACACGCACTCACATGCATCACACACGCCGTGTTTGACACGCACTCACATGCATCACACACGCCGTGTTTGACACGCACTCACATGCATCACACACGCCGTGTTTCACACGCACTCACATGCATCACACACGCTGTGTTTCACACGCACTCACATGCATCACACACGCCGTGTTTCACACGCACTCACATGCATCACACACGCCGTGTTTCACACGCACTCACATGCATCACACACGCCGTGTTTCACACGCACTCACATGCATCACACACGCCGTGTTTCACACGCACTCACATGCATCACACACGCCGTGTTTCACACGCACTCACATGCATCACACACGCCGTGTTTCACACGCACTCACATGCATCACACACGCCGTGTTTCACACGCACTCACATGCATCACACACGCCGTGTTTCACACGCACTCACATGCATCACACACGCCGTGTTTCACACGCACTCACATGCATCACCGCGACATCACTGCCTTGCTGTGTTCTTGTAAAACTATTATCGGCTTCTCATCAATTGCACGCACACCATTCTGCCATCTCGTATACGACTCTCGCTACCGGTATGTATAACGAACATATCTAGCCCAATAATTCTACGAAGCATTTTTTCCCCATTGTGCGTTTCCCTCCCTGTACCTCCACCCTCCCCTTTTCGGTGCAAAGGGGCTGAAGGGTTAAGCAAGGCAGCAGCACCGCCATTCTCGAGCCCAGCATGCTCGGCGGCACATCAAGCCTTCCTTGGCTGCTGCCTTCTCACCACCAACGCTGCTGCAAGGCTTCATGCTCTCAACTTTCTGGCTTCGTTTTGCTTTGTCAATGTGGCATTTGCTTCGTGGGTTTGTCTTCAAGTGCTTGTTGACTGTATTGTACTGTACACACTGTAATCATTAGGGGAATTGTGCTTGCGCTTTGTTGTGGCATCTGATTTGAAAACTTTTTCCAACTTCTTCCAAATATTGTCATCCACGGACGGAATAGTAGCACAGCCATTACCATGGAACCCCCCTATATAGCATGACGCCCCTCGTACCCTAGAACTTCTCCGCATGGTATATTCAAGCGAAAATTTCAGCAACAAATGGATGAAAACCAAAGCTGGCAGACTATGGCGCCACTCAAAAGAACACAGCTGGCTCTCTAAACTCAGGCCGATCAATGCTGCATTCGTTACAAGGATACGCACAGTCAACCGATTTGGCTTCTGCCCCATCATTATCCTCTTCGTGAAGCCAGAGACTGAAGGCCTGCGCCAGTGTCTGTCACAGGAAACCCAACACAGTTACTTGGCTGGAAACTACACTAGGTAAGTTAACCATAACAAACCAAGCAGGAAATCAACTCACATGATTGGCAACGGTTAACTGCGACCAGAGGTCACTGTGGTACGCGGCGCAGTGGGCTAAACAAAGTATATGTTGAAGCGCCTCAAAAAGTGACTCACGTGATTGGCGACAGTGAGCTGCGACCAGAGGTCACTGTGGTACACGGCGCAGTGGGCTAAACAAAAGTATATCTTGAAGCGCCTCAAAAAGTGACTCACGTGATTGGCGACAGTGAGCTGCGACCAGAGGTCACTGTGGTAGGTGGCGCAGTGGGCGAAGCAGGAGTAGAAGAACGCCCCGTGGGGGTCACTTGCTGCTAGGAACGGCTGCCACGACTCAAGAAGCGCTTGGCGGAAATCTGGAGGTTATAGCAAAGAATGGGTGTAGCAACAGTGGAAAAGTGGGTGTAGCAAGAGGGGAAGAGTGGGTGTAGCAAGAGTGGAAGAGTGGGTGTAGCAAGAGTGGAAGAGTGGGTGTAGCAAGAGTGGAAGAGTGGGTGTAGCAAGGCGTGAGTGGAGCTGCTGCGAAAACGTTTTTGCCAGTCAGAGGAATGGCTTGCACTCGCCTTGGTGGACACACCTTGAATGATGGCCAGCTGAGCAGCTGTGCACGAGCGCACTCGATACAGGCAGTTCCGCAGCAGGTCACCAGAAGGGTCCGCATCCTCATTGGCTAGCAGAGCCAGTAGCTGTGGCAAAGGGAAGCGGCATACGTGTTCACATGTTTGCAGCCGCAATTTAGGCACTTACTATGATGGAGAGAGTTTGGGTAAGGAGAGGTGAGGGGAAGCAAGATAAAGGGTTGAGGACCAGTGGGGCATGTATGGCAGAGCAGTGGGGCATGTATGGCAGAGCAGTGGGGCATGTATGGCAGAGCAGTGGGGCATGTATGGCAGAGCAGCGGGGCATGTCTGGCAGAGCAGTGGGGCATGTCTGGCAGAGCAGTGGGGCATGCATCGCAGAGCAGTGGGGTATGTATGGCAGAGCAGTGGGGCATGCATGGCAGAGCAGTGGGGCATGTATGGCAGAGCAGTGGGGCAAGTATGGCAGAGCAGTGGGCATGCATGGCAGAGCAGTGGGGCATGCATGGCAGAGCAGTGGGGCATGTCTGGCAGAGCAGTGGGGCATGCATGGCAGAGCTGTGGGGCATGCATGGCAGAGCGGTGGGGCATGCATCGCAGAGCGGTGGGGCATGTTGGCAAGTCTATTGGCAGAGTGGCAAGGGATAGTACAGAAGGGAAACCAACTAAGGGTGGGAAAACTGAGAAGATAAAGGATGGGAGAGTGGTTGGGTGGGTTGGAGGGCGGTGCGTGCGTACATTCCAGGAGTCATAGTTGCTGTTGACCATGAACACTCTGCTGCTCACATACGCCATGGCGTGGCGAGCAAACACGCACTACAGCACACATGCACACACACCCACACACATGAAACAGGAAACCCTTGAGTTAACTCGAGTCACAGCATGGACTGCGGATGAAAACAGATTTGCGGAGGGAAACTGTTAGTTGTGAGACGCATGCTCTCTCACCTCCTCCCACATGTGACACGCATGCGCTCTCCTTGTACTGCCCGTGCTCACCTCGTACTGCCCGTCCTCACCTCGTACTGCCCGTGCTAACGTCGTACTGCCCGTGCTCACCTTGTACTGCCCGTGCTCACCCCTTTACATTCATACCACATGTGACACACATGCTCTCTCACCTCGTATTGCATGCTCTCTCACCTCGTATTGCATGCTCTCTCACCTCGTATTGCATGCTCTCTCACCTCGTATTGCATGCTCTCTCCTCGTATTGCATTCTCTCTCACCTCGTATTGCATTCTCTCTCACCTCGTATTGCATTCTCTCTCACCTCGTATTGCAGGTGCAGTGGGCGGGCGTTGATGCAGTGCTCACTCACTCCCCCGGCCATGTGCTGCACCGCACCACACCGCACCAAACCCTACCCCAACTCCACGTTAATAACCATTGTTCCCATACACACACGGAGCATGGGGCTATGGCAGAGATAGGCGAGGCGAGGGAGGGCGCAAGGAAGAGGGTTTCGAGCAGAAAGGGTCGAGAGGGGCACACACTGATGACTAGGGTCGGCTAAAGACACTGTTTAAATGCCCAAACGAGGAACATTGAGGGATGAAGGCGAGAAAGCTGTCAAAATGAGTGACGGGAAGATGGACACTTGCTGGTGTGAGGGGGCAAGAGGTTGCGAGGGGGGGAAGAAGGCTGAGAGGAAGCAGAAGGGTTCGAGAGGAAAAGACGGGTGCAAGGGAAGCAGAAGGGTGCGAGGGAAGCAGAAAAATTGGAGGGAAGCAGAAGGGTGGGTGGCAGGGCATGACATGGAATTGGAAGACAGCCTGAAAGAGCTCCCTCGCTGTTGCCTTCCCACCCAGGTCCTTCCTGGAAGAGGCAGACACAAGGGAGAGTGGAACGACGAAGAAGGTAGGTGGTACTCGTAAATGAGATTCCACCGATCATCATTCAAAACCCTGTAACATTTATAATCACATGAGCAGCCCAGGTGTGACACCCTCTACATACTAAGAAAGTATCTTATTTGCAAAGTACACCAATAGAATGATTAGATTAAGCATTTCTTGTGTGTTGTCTGTGGAAGGAAGGAAAGCAGCTGAGAAGGTGGGGAGGCGCATGTGAGTGCCAGGGAGGGGGGCATCTGTCAAGGTAAATGGGGGCATCTGTCAAGGTAAATGGGGGCATCTGTCAAGGTAAATGGCGGCATCTGTCAAGGTAAATGGCGGCATCTGTCAAGGTAAATGGCGGCATCTGTCAAGGTAAATGGCGGCATCTGTCAAGGTAAATGGCGGCATCTGTCAAGGTAAATGGCGGCATCTGTCAAGGTAAATGGCGGCATCTGTCAAGGTAAATGGCGGCATCTGTCAAGGTAAATGGCGGCATCTGTCAAGGTAAATGGCGGCATCTGTCAAGGTAAATGGCGGCATCTGTCAAGGTAAATGGCGGCATCTGTCAAGGTAAATGGCGGCATCTGTCAAGGTAAATGGCAGCATCTGTCAGACAGGCGAAGGCCGAGGGCGTGAGGGCAGGATGGATGTGGTCGCAGTGCAGAGGGAGACGAGGGGGGGAGAGGGAGGAGGGGGGGCGGTGGGTGTGTGGGTGTGTGGGGGAAGGGCGCGTGGGTGTGGGGAGGCACCTGTCGAGGAAGATGGCAGCATCGGGCAGGCAGGCGTAGGCAGAGGGGGGCAGGGCGGGGAAGAAGGCGGCTCTGATGTGGTCGCAGTGCAGCAGCGCTGCTAGCCCCCCGGCAGAGCACCCCGACACCACCACCTGCCGGTGGGTGGGATGGGCTTGGTGGTGTATGTTGCGTGTGCAAGCTTGTGAGTGTGAGTGTGCGAGCGAGTAAGCGTGCTTGTGGGCATGTGTGCGCGTGTTGGCATGTTGGCATGTGTCTGTGTGTTGGCAAACATATGTGGGTTACTGCATGGTACTGCATGTAAGTGCACGTGCACTCAAATGTGTGTGCACGGAGCAGAGCACACCCACGTCCTCCGTGCTTGCCTGCTGTGCGTGGGCCAGTCGGTGCTGCAGGTGGTCAAAGATGGCATCGCGAATGGCTCGCCCGCGAATGAAGATGCTGCCCCCCTGCAGGTCGTGGAAGTAGCGGTGGGCAGCAGCGGTGGGCAGCAGCGGTGGGCAGCAGCGGTGAGTGGTGAGAGGAGAAAGAGAATGAAGATGTTGCCCCCTTGCCCGTGGAAGGAGAGATGAGCGGCGAGAGGAGGAAGCGAATGGATGGATGAAGGAGAGAAAGGGATAGCAGATGCACATGAAGCGTCGCAGAGGGTTGCATGAGCAGATGATGCATGGATCGAAGGCATGGATCGAAGGCATGGATCGAAGGCATGGATCGAAGGCATGGATCGAAGGCATGGCTCGAAGGCATGGATCGAAGGCATGGCAAGAATTGCTCGTCAGCACTCACCCGCACTGAATCTCGCTGACCTGCACTCACCTGAACTGAACCACACTGAACCGCACTGACCTGCACTGACCTGCACTCACCTGCACTCACCTGCACTGACCTGCACTGACCTGCACTGACCTGCACTGACCTGCACTTACCTGCACTTACCTGCAGTTACCTGCACTGACCTGCACTGACCTGCACTTACCTGCACTTACCTGCACTCACCTGCACTCACCTGCACTCACCTGCACGGGAAGAGGGTGGGTGCGGTGGCCAGCAAAGGACCCGCCATCGCAGTAAGCGAGCTTCACCATGTTCCACTCGTGCATGCCTGCCGTGGTGCATACATGCATGCATGCACGCCATCATGGGTACATGCCACGGTGCATGCATGCATGCACATGGGTGCATACACACCATCGGGTTCTTCCGTGCACATCGATTGGGTGGGTGCAGAAACGGGTAGAGCCACGTGCATGCTCAAATCACAGCAGGCGGGAACAGCGACGTGCGCAAGTGGCGGGCAGGCCATAGGAGTTCAAGGCGTGGGGAACAAAAGGGTATTATGTAGGTGTGGTATGGTGTGCACGTGGGTAGGAACAGTGCATGCGAAGGGTTGTAAAGCAGGGAGAGCGTCAATTGGTCGGTAGTGGGCGGCACATGGGGTGGTGCGTGGGCACATGGGGTGGTGCGTGGGCACATGGGGTGGTGCGTGGGCACATGCATGGGTTGGCGGAGCAACGCACCTGGGTTGATTGCGGGGTCGTCACTGAACACGCCCTCAGCGTCAGCAGTGGCGGGTAGCAGGCGGGACGACCCCAGTGCTGTGAGGCTGCGCTGCCGACACTCCTCCCCGCTGCTGCACCACGCCCCGCCCTGTGCACACCCATACCCCCCACACTCCACGCCCATACCCCCCACACTCCACGCCCATCCCTCCCCCCTCCACGCCCATGCTACCCCCTCCCCACATGTGCGAACAAGCAAGCATGTGAGAGAAAGTGGAGTGAGTTGAAGATGGGGTGACTGGAACTCAACTAACGTTCCCAGAAGATCAAATCTCGACTAAAGTGCGTTGCATACATGCCGGTGAATTCCCACCATGGCAGGTCCAGCAAGGCCAAGCAGCACGGAAGGCATGGCATGGCATGGCATGGCATGGCATGGCAATGGCATGGCATGGCAATGGCATGGCATGGCATGGCCAGCAGCCGTTAAGAACGGGCAGCGGGGAAGTGACGGAGGGGAAAGAGAGGGAGGAGAGGTGAAAGAGAGGGGGGAAGAAGGAGAGAAAGAGGGAGGGGAAAAGAGGAGGGGAGTGGGAGAGAAAGAGGAGGAGAGAGGTGAGGAGAAAGGGGGAGAATGGGGGAGAGGGGGCGAGTGGGGGGGAGAAGGGTGGAGCGGGGGGGAGACGGGGGGAGAGGGGAGGAGAAAGGGGGAGAGGGCGGGAGAAGGGTGGAGAGGGGGGGAGAAGGGGGGAGAGGGGGGAAGAAGGGGGGAGAGGGGGGAAGAAGGGGGGAGAGGGGGGCGACCTGGAAGTGGAAGAACCACTTGTGGGCGCCGCCTGCATGGCCCGGGCGGAAGTAGTAGGCCGGTGGTGACCTGTCCAAACACACTGTGGGGCAGGCAGGACGCGGGGGTGAGGGGAGGCCGTGGCACGCACACGGGTGTGTGTGAGGGGAGGATAGTGCAGTGTGTGTGAGGGGAGGATAGTGCAGTGTGTGTGAGGGGAGGATAGTGCAGTGTGTGTGAGGGGAGGATAGTGCAGTGTGTGTGAGGGGAGGATAGTGCAGCGACTGCGGTGCACTGCACCTCACACGCATGCACCTCACACGCATGCACCTCACACGCATGCACCTCACACGCATGCACCTCACACGCATGCACCTCACACGCCATGCACCTGACAGCACAAGGGAGCGTCTCACCAGCCCCCACGGCCGCTGCCCCGTGCACCACCACCAGCCTCAGTGGCCTCGCCACCACTCCTGCTGCTGCTGCCGCCGCCGTCGTCGCCGCTGCTGCTGCTGCTACCGCCCGCGCCCGAAGTTCCTCCTTCGCGTTGCTCTCTGCTGCATTCTCGCCGCCCGCGTTCTCTCCGCCATTCTCGCTGTCGCCTTCCCCACGCCCAACTTTCGCCCCTTCCGCTGTCACCGCACTCCCCCCTCTGCTCTCCTCCCCCTCCCCCTCACTCCCCTTCCCCCGCACCGGTCGTTCCGCCGTGCCGTGCAACCCCTCGCTCGCACCGTCGCCCGCCTCCCTACCGCGCACGCCTGCGCGCTGCTCCCCCAGCCCGCCTGGCGCAGGTTCCGCCACCAGCAGAGTTGGCGCGGAAAGCGCGCGCCATCGGGAAAGGGCGAGCGCAAGGGCGAGGGCGAGCGCCGCAAGGACGAGGAGCAGTGTGGCGGGGGGACGGAGGGCCGTCGCCGAGGGACACGTGGCGAGCGACTGCGATCGAACGTATCGCACATGGTGTCGCATGGCATCGCAGAGTGGTTCAGGCAAGCATGCCGACGCTCGAGTGTGGTGTCTCTGTTCCAAACCTCGCCTGGGTCTTATACGCGTCAGAGAACGATGGATTCGATAGCGTAATTGTCTCCATGTATTATAGTTGAAGTACGTATGGACCTCTTGGGCATCGGGAGTTGGGTCGCTAAAAATAAAATAAACTACCGGTAATAATAATAAAAATAAAAAGCAGGGAGAAACAAAAATTGCAGCGCTTCCTATATTTTTCTAAGAAGAAATTCGTGAGGTGCATGGCGTGTGCATTGCTGGTAGGCATTTTCTAAAAGAAAGGCGCCTAATCCGTTATGTCGCTTTGCACAACTTTTGAGGGCTCTTGTGTTAATAAGCAAGAAAGTGTAGAGATTACACAAATTCAGTTCTGTAAAGCAGACAAGAATCTTAACACGTTATCGAAGCAGCTTTATGTGCATTGACGTCAAACCTCCTCCCTGTCGACCAGCGCATTCATCGCGACATTCACTCTCGCATATCGCTCCACCGCCCTCGTTAGCTCTCGCCCCTCCGCACTCGCGACTGCCCCCTCCTCCTTACCGTCGCGCTCCTCGCACGTCCCCTCCGCCCGCCGTCGCCAGCCTCGCGCGGCACCTCCGCGGCAGGCGCAAGTTGGCCAGAAGCCCGCTTGCTGACCGCTCTGCGAAACGCCGCACTACCAGGTTGGTGGCCCCTCCCTAGCGCGCCACCTCTGCGTCTTGTAAGATTCTCGCGCCCGCTCATTCCCCGCCCGCTCATTCCCCGCCCGCTCATTCCTCGCCCGCTCATTCCCCGCCCGCTCATTCCCCGCCCGCTCATTCCCCGCCCGCTCATTCCTCGCCCGCTCATTCCCCGCCCGCTCATTCCCCGCCCGCTCATTCCCCGCCCGCTCATTCCCCGCCCGCTCATTCCCCGCCCGCTCATTCCCCGCCCGCTCATTCCCCGCCCGCTCATTCCTCGCCCGCTCATTCCCCGCCCGCTCATTCCTCGCCCGCTCATTCCCCGCCCGCTCATTCCCCGCCCGCTCATTCCCCGCCCGCTCATTCCCCGCCCGCTCATTCCTCGCCCGCTCATTCCTCGCCCGCTCATTCCCCGCCCGCTCGATCGCGCCCTTCCCCCTCCCCCCCCCCCACCCGCTCATTTGTCGCCCTCTCATTCGTCGCCCTCTCATTCGCCGCCCTCTCATTCGTCGCCCTCTCATTCGCCGCCCTCTCATTCGCCGCTCTCTCATTCCCTCCCGCTCATCCGCTCTCGCAGAATGCCACACTACGCGTGCAGCGTTGTGTTTTGAGTTCTAGGAGGGCCACCCGCCCGTACGGCGTGCTCACTTCTCTCATGCGTCCGTTGTTCATGTGCTCATCTTCTCTCTCGCTCTCTGCACCGCCCTCTTCCCCCACAGCTATGACGGTTGACCCCGCCCCCCTCGCTCCCTCCCCCGCTCCACCCTCTGCCGCCGTGCCTGCACAGCCCGCCACAGGCCCAGGCGCTGCAGAGCAAGGGGGCCCCGAGGCAGAGGGCAAGGGGAGCGCGGCAGCAGCTGAGAAGGGCACGGATGAAGCATGGGGGCCCAAGGGGGAGGTGGCGGGAGCAGAGGGAGAGGAGGAGGAGGGAGGAGAAGCAGCCGGAGGAGCAGCGGGGACAGCAGCAGCGGCGGCGGAATCGGCAGCAGCAGCAGTAGCAGTGAAGCACCCGCTGCAGCAGCGGTGGACGCTGTGGTTTGACAACCCGCACCAGCGCGGCAAGAGTGGCGGGTGGGGCACGTCCATGCGCCTCATCTACACCTTCGGCACCGCTGAGGACTTCTGGAGGTGACGCCCGCTTAGCTTACCACATGCCATGCCACACCTTAAAGCCCAGCTGGAGGTCTCTGCTTCACTCCACGCATGTGCTGGTATGCCTTCTCTGAACGCCACGCATGTGCTGGTATGCCTTCTCTGAACGCCACGCATGTGTGATACAAGAGTGGCGGGTGGGCCACATCCATGCGACAGCCTGCAGGTCCACACCTCCGGCACCGCCTAGGGCTTCTGGAGGTGCGGGGGTGCCGGCCCGGCCATGCCACGCGTGAGTCGTGTGGAGATGCGATGCCATGGTTGAGTGTTGTTGAGATTGAGGGCGCGTCGCGCCTTGAAGCGTGTGTGAGAATGCCTTCACTCCACTCTAGGCTCGAGCAACACCCGGGAGGGACCGTGTTCTTTCATGGCACCCGGCACCGTCACGACTTCCTGCCGTGCGACGCTTGAGTCGTCTCGATATTGAGGGCGAGTCATGGGGCTGAAACCATGTGTCCGTATGCCTTCTCGCTACTCCATACGCATGTTCAGAACACTTCCTACTCTTGTTTCTTCCTTGCCATGCCTGGTCTCTAGCTTCACAACCTGTGCCTCTCTCTCAAGCTCATCTGACACGTGCTCTGAAATCCGCTTCATCTCTTACTCCCCTCTTCCTTTTGATCTTGCAATGTCTCTCACCCACCCTCTCATCTCCAGACTGGGCACCAACCAACACACCGTTTTCCGCGTGCATTGCAACCTTCTCCATGACCTAACCTGCCTCAACCCAAAGTCCCCCTCCATCCCCTCCTCCCCTCCCCGTTCCTTCCCCCCTCCCTCCCTCCTGCTCCCCTCCCCCTTTCCCCCTTCCCTCTCACAGCTTGTACAACAATGTGACGTCAGCAGCAACACTGCCCCCCAGGATGGACATGCATCTGTTCAAGGAGGGCATCGTGCCCAAGTGGGAGGACCCGCAGTGCGAGAAGGGCGGCTCCTGGACCGTCTTCTGCCGCACCAAGGACATGTTTGACCACGTGTGGCTCAATGTGGTGAGTGTGGCTCAATGTGGTGAGTGTGGCTCAATGTGGTGAGTGTGGCTCAATGTGGTGAGTGCTGCACCAACGACATGTTTGACCAAAATGTCCAAATCTCCAATTGAGGATTTGAAGGGACTGTGTTGTTGGCATCTTCCCTGCAGTTCCTTTAGAATAGGTTTTTAGCGAGTTAATCCCATTCCCTTAAACACCAACAGCTGTGCCCACTCCTTGTTCTCCCACTATGTTGCCCGCTGTGTGTGTGGCTGCCCCCCTTCCCCCCCCGCCCCTCATGGAACGGCTATTGGCAGTGATAGGCGAGCATGTCACAGAAGCGGGCGACATGTGTGGGGTGGTGGCCAATGCCCTCTCTCTCTGTTGTCACACCAACACCTCTGTGGCCCATTTCTTGTTTTTCCTCCACTGTGTGGCCTGCTGTGTGTGTGGCTGTGCTCCCCTCTTCTGCAGCTGCTGGCGCTGATAGGAGAGCAGTTCACAGAGGCGGGCGACATCTGTGGCGTGGTGGCGAACGCTCGGCCCAACAAGGACCGAGTGGTGCTGTGGACCAAGACTGCCAGCAACGAGGCAGTGCAGGTGGGTGGCAATGGTCAACTCATGTCCATCCACGCACGATGCGTACTAGATGGCAGGGAGTTTCTGAGGATTCTCAGATTCACCTCGGAACCAGAAAGGTCAAAGGTAGCCTCAGCCTTGATACTCCTGTTCCCAGGGCGCTGCAAAGGCATCTGCCACCGGGCGGAGTGGGAGGGCTGAATGCAGCTGCGTTGTAACTTGACTTGGCTGGCTCAATGGCTGTCGACGATGTTGACTTGGCAGTGATTGCTACTGCTGCGAGTGCTACTGCTGCGAGTGCTACTGCTGCGAGTGCTACTGCTGCGAGTGCTACTGCTGCGATTGCTACTGCTGCGAGTGCTACTGCTGCGAGTGCTACTGCTGCGAGTGCTACTGCTGCGAGTGCTACTGCTGCGAGTGCTCCTGCTGCGAGTGCTACTGCTGCAATTGCTACTGCTGCGAGTGCTGCTGCTGCGATTGCTACTGCTGCGAGTGCTACTGCTGCGAGTGCTACTGCTGCGAGTGCTACTGCTGCGATTGCTACTGCTGCGATTGCTACTGCTGCGAGTGCTACTGCTGCGATTGCTGCTGCTGCGATTGCTACTGCTGCGACTGCTGCGATTGCTACTGCTGCGAGTGCTACTGCTGCGATTGCTACTGCTGCGAGTGCTACTGCTGCGATTGCTACTGCTGCGATTGCTACTGCTGTGATTGCTACTGCTGCGAGTGCTACTGCTGCGATTGCTACTGCTGTGAGTGCTACTGCTGCGATTGCTACTGCTGCGAGTGCTACTGCTGCGAGTGCTACTGCTGCGAGTGCTACTGCTGCGATTGCTACTGCTGCAAGTGCTACTGCTGCGATTGCTACTGCTGCGATTGCTACTGCTGCGATTGCTACTGCTGCGATTGCTACTGCTGCGAGTGCTACTGCTGCGATTGCTACTGCTGCAAGTGCTACTGCTGCTAGTGCTACTGCTGCGATTGCTACTGCTGCGATTGGTAGTGCTGCGATTGCTACTGCTGCGAGTGCTACTGCTGCGATTGCTACTGCTGCGAGTGCTACTGCTGCGAGTGCTACTGCTGCGATTGCTACTGCTGCGAGTGCTACTGCTGCGAGTGCTACTGCTGCGATTGCTACTGCTGCGAGTGCTGCTGCTGCGAGTGCTACTGCTGCGAGTGCTACTGCTGCGAGTGCTACTGCTGCGAGTGCTACTGCTGCTGTGCTACTGCCACTGCAGCAACGCTGGAGCAGGACATCATATCATGCCCTGCTGGTGGGGCCATGCCCTGGTGGTGGGGCCATGCCCTGCTGGTGGGGCCATGCCCTGCTGGTGGGGCCATGCCCTGCTGATGGGGCCATGCCCTGGTGGTGGGGCCATGCCCTGCTGGTGGGGCCATGCCCTGCTGGTGGGGCCATGTCCTGGTGCCTCTGCTGACGGAATCCTTCCGTGTTGCTAAGCTTAGCCTCCCACTCTGACTCTCCCTCTCACTCCCCCTCTCACTTCCCCTCTCACTCACTCTCTTCTCGTGCAGGTGAGCATCGGGAGGCAGCTCAAGGAGATCAGTGGCATTACAGACAAGATTTCATATTCCTCCTTTGTAAGACCCCACCTCGCCCCACGCATTCTCACTTTCCGAGTCTTCTCACGAGCACCTAAACCCGAAACCCTTGTCCGATGCCTTTCTTACAGTTGACTCCTTCCGTCCTTCTCTTTGCTTGCTGTTGCTGGCCATGAGGCTTGTCAAGTCCCGTATCTGCCATTCATGTGCCTTATTTACATGTCCTCTTCATTCGACAGCCTTTCAACCTGCTTGGCACCACAGGCTGCACCACAGGCTGCACCACACAAAGCCATCGCGTCACTCAGCATCGCACTGTCGCATTTCCTTCACCTCTCATCGTCCCTCATTACTGCAGTGTGTCATATCACATCCCCCATCTGCTCTCTGTTCATCTTGTTTGTGCATTCTGGTCATTCTCAGAACGATCAGAAGTTTTCATCGAAAGCCAGCCAGGGATATGTTGCTTGAAGCACCACTGTGCCACTGACCACAAGCGTATAGGATTGCAATGATGCATTGCATGTTGACATACCGTAGTTGCTGTTGCTGCAATCTACAAGCAGGTTTTATTTATGTTTTTTGCAAGGCCAAGGCCAACGGTTCTTATTCATGAGATGGACCAATATTCGTCATTAAAATGTTTATGTTCACACTGAAATACCGTCATCGCCCGGATATAAGACAGTGTTGAATAGTAGCCTTTTTATATGACACCTATTTGTGTGTACGAGTTAAGACATATATGTCTTATAATCAGAACCGGGGTTTAGGGGTTTTCTTATAAACAGGGGGTGTCTTCTAAACGAGCCTTGCTTACTTTAGGGGGGTACATGCATACATTCATGAATCTCTACTTCTACCTAACCCCCCTAAGTCACCGCCTCCTCGCCTGCGCTAACAACAGGCTCCACATCTAGGTCTGGCACTCGCCAGGCATGCCTAGTCGTCTCCCTAGGCTCGATCATGCGGTCAGCCTCGGCCGCCGCCCCGCGGTAGTTGGGGGTCTCCTGGTACAGCACCTCCAGGCCGGTTGCCACGGCCACCTCCCGCACGCCCTCCGCCTGCATCGCCTCCTCCTCCTCCTCTGGAGCCCGACCGAGCAGGCGCGTGTTGTCGCCTGTGGTCCCCCCGAGGGACATGTTCGCGGAGACATCGGTGGTGCTCCTGGCGCGCAGGTGAGACATCACCAGGTGGTTCTCCGTTCCGTCCAGCTTGCTTGAGATCCCACAGTGGCGGAACGCGTCGATGATGATCTGCTTCGGGACTTGATCCCAAGCCTTCGCGATCCACTGCAGCACCACGGGGTGCGGCGGCCTCCGCAGGTTCCCTGCGGGTGGGTTTGAGGATGGGCAGCGAGATGTTAGAGAGACGGACATGAAGGAGCATGTTTAAGACAAGGACAGGAAACAGAACAGGAATAATATCGTAAATGAAGGACCAACTCACCCTTCTTCGTCTTCAGGTGAATCCCCTCACGCATGAACCACCTGGCGTAGCGCGCTCGCACAGCAGCCTTGAAGCACCGGTTGATTGAGACGTCCGGGGGTTGAATCTGGCTCGTACAACCCGCTGGGATGACTGCAGGGGTGATGCTGTGCGTGCGGTACGACTGAAGCATGGTCTGGGTGATGTGACCGCGGTAGGAATCCAACACCAGCATCGCACGCCTCGCGTTCTGGCCGCGCTGGGGGTTCAGAAGGGGCAGCACCTCCTTGGACAGCCAGGTCTGCACAGCACTCTCGTCCGTCCACCCGTTGTCCTGTGCTTGGACCACGATTCTTGCCAGGCACACAAGGGACAGACGGGCTTCAACACAGTGGGGCACGCTCATCAGGCAGACGCACGGTTGAATTCATTACGCTTACCTTCCGGAATCTCACAATTGGGGACGTTCTTCATCTTGAACCACACCCACGGCCGCAGCTTCTCCCCGGATGCAGTGCACGCGAGCATCACCGTCAAGCGCGTTTTCTGGTAGCCTGCAGTGCGGATTGGGACCGAGCGCGCGCCGCGGTGCTCGATCGTCCGTTCGGCTGGCATCTCCACGAATAGTGGAGTCTGGTCCGCGTTGATGATGCGGGCCAGGTCGATGTTGTGCCGCGCCCTGTTGATGCGCACGAACTTCCAGAAGGACTCGCAGTCCTTCGGGCACTCTGCAAACGGTACACGCGCAACGGAAACACGGGATGGTTAGACACTGGGTGAGGGACATGCATTCAATAGCCCGCGCGAGACACGAATTCCTTCAACACGCACCCGCCGACAGTCGTTGGCCGACCTTGGTCTTCACCCGCATCACCAGGTTCCAGCGGTCACGGAAACGCTGGCTCTAGTGAGAGCTCGCGTTCCAGTTCTTGCCGGCGTGATGCTTCTTCATCCACTCGCAGCTCCACTTCTGAGTGTCCTTCACCGAGATGGCCACCCCGTTAGCGCGCTGAAGGCAGATGTGGCAGTACATGTCAAATATAGGAGGAGTACGGCCTAGGCTTAGTAGCCTAGGCCACAGTAGGACTAGAACGAGGAGGCGCCAAGTACAAGCTAGGAACGTGTGCACGAACAGAATTGAGAAGAGATGATTGAACTAGCAAGCAGCAGGATACAAATAGCAAACCTTAAGGGGCTGTACTCACTATTGAGTGCCCCATTGCAGGCTACACAAACAACATATTCTGACACACCCCCATAGCCAAAGTGGGGTGTAATCAGCACAATGAGCAGGCAGTGCAATAGTTCAAAATTATGAGCAAAGCTAGTGGTAGTCACAGCAGGCAAGTGATGACAAGGAGGGACTGTGAGAGGAGAGAAGATGGGAGACGACGGCTGAAGCTGCAGACACACGGGCAACAGGAGCGGCTGGCACAGTGGCTAACGGGACAGCGCCTCAGACTATTAGAGTAACTGGCTCACGGGCTACGAGGAGCTACACGAGCAACGGACCCATGGGCGATAGGCGCAGCAGGCTCTCTGGGCTACCAGGACAGCGCCCCGGACTACAGGTGTTGCCGACGACAAGACGGCTGCCTCCACTCAACCTCCCCCAACTGTCCCACACCCCCCTACACACACCCCCAGTTTCACCCCTAGCTCCACTCCCACATCACCCCCCTAGCTCCACTCCCCACAGCTCCCACACCTCCACCCCCCTCAGCGGCAGCTGCAGCAATGGGAGACGAAAAAGGGGGAGGGGAGAACCCACACCTCTCACCCCCATGCTTGCCACCCCACACCCCCACCACCGCGGAACGCACGGCGGAATGGGAGCAATGGGCAGCACGGGGGGGGGGAGGGGGAACGGGACGGGCTTCCGCAGGGGCGGCTCGCGCGGGTCCTGGGGCGGCTGCTGCAGGCACGGGCTGCTCCAGGGGCGGCTGCTGCAGGCACGGGCTGCTCCAGGGGCGGCTGATGCAGGCACGGGCTGCTCCAGGGGCGGCTGCTGCAGGTGCGGGCTGCTCCAGGGGCAGCTGCTGCAGATGCGGGCTGCTCCAGGGGCGGCTGCTGCAGTGGCGGGCGGCTCCAGGGGCGGCCGCTGCAGGTGAAAGGTAGGAGGAGGGGGGGGGGGGGGGGGGGGGGGGGGGGGGGAAACTCACGGCCCCCAGGGCGCCCCGAGGGGCGACGAGAAGGGAACCGCGCGGCCCCCCCCTGGGGCGCCGCGACGGGCACCAGGGAGGGCGCCGCGATGGGCCCCCAGAGCCGCCTCGACGGGCGACGGGGAGGGCGCCGCGCGGGCCCCCCGAAGTCGCCTCGACGGGCGACGAGGAGGGCGCCGCGCGGGCCCCCCAAAGTCGCCTTGACGGGCGACGGGAGGGGACCGCGTGCGGCCCCCGTGGTCGCCACGACGGGCGATTGGTGGGGAGGCCGCGCGGGCCCCCAAGGTCGCCTCGACGGGCGACGGGAGGGGAGGCCGCGCGGGTCCCCAAGGTCGCCTCGACGGGCGACGGGAGGGGAGGCCGCGCGGTTCCCCGAGAGCGCCTCGACGGGCGCTTCGACGGGAGGAGACCGCGGAGGCCCCCCCAAGGGCACCACGACAAGCGCCACGGAAGGGAAAACCGCCAGGCGCCCCGAGCGCGCGGCGGGCAGAAATTAGGGTTTCGCCGCCGCGCACCACGGGGCGCGCGGCGGACACTGCGGCAGCGGAAGCGGGTGGTGGGCCCATACACAGGAAGGCGGCAGACATGCCGCCCTCTGATACCATGTCAAATATAGGAGGAGTACGGCCTAGGCTTAGTAGCCTAGGCCACAGTAGGACTAGAACGAGGAGGCGCCAAGTACAAGCTAGGAACGTGTGCACGAACAGAATTGAGAAGAGATGATTGAACTAGCAAGCAGCAGGATACAAATAGCAAACCCTAAGGGGCTGTACTCACTATTGAGTGCCCTACTGCAGGCTACACAAACAACATATTCTGACAGTACAACGCTGCCTCCATGTTGGGGTAGTGTGAGTGGCGCCCCCCCCCCCGTGCATCTGCTTGCGGCGCGCCCTTGTAGACGCCCGCAGCCGCCTCCGCACTCCAGCGACTGATGCAGGCGATGGACGCGGTTGACTCCACGTTCGTCTTCTTCAAGGAGCCAAGCTCCGGATAGCAGCGCGCCCACTTGCTTCTCACGTACTGTCCAACCACGGCGCTTCCTCGTAGTGTCCTTGCTGCGAGGGGAAGGGGCCTTAGCAGGGGCTTTAGCAGGGGCTTCCGCAACTTTGGCTTTTCCCTTCTCCGCAGCGGTGAGTTTCGGGCGACGCTCCTCCCCCGGACTGTCGTCGTCAGAGAGCACCACGCGGGCCCGCTTCGACTTGGACTATAAGCGATGGCGCAGCCTCCGCTTCAGTAGCGGAACGTCGTCGTCTGTCCCAAGGCTCCATGGGTCGTCGTCGCTGCTTTCACCGTCAAATAAGACGGCATCCGCAGCAACCGTGTCCGACTCTGCCACAGCATCCGCATCCGCAACTGCGGCCGCGCCGTCTTAAGCCTCCTCATTCGCATCCATCGCCGCTTCCTGTGAATCCGCCGCTGCCTCTGCGTTGTCACTATTCGCATTTTCACCTCCGTCGTTGTCCGAATCTCTAGCCCGCCACTCTTCCACCTTGTCGTCGCTCCCGACCGGCCGATTCCACCATTCGTCCTCCTCGATGTCGGCAGGACCTAATTCGTCACCCGAAGTGCTGTCGTCGTGGCCGTTCCCCGGCCAATCCTCCTCAGCGTCGTCGCCGTTCGCTTCTTCTCCGTAGTCCCCGTCACAGCTCGCACCGGAGGCCGCGGTAGGACTTCCCGCCTTACTCGCGTTCTTTGCCATGGCTACACGAATGTCATCGCCGGGCGAGTTAATTCGCCCGTGGTTATTCACCTGCACGTGAGGACGAGGAGAGGACGAGCCTGGGGGTACTTTGCTGCGCATGGTTAGAAAGCCTGCCGAGAGCAAGGTTGAGACGAGTATTCCTAAACCCTTGAGCACCAAATGAAGTGAGAGGCCGACTACCCCCCCCCAGCCAGAGTGCCCCATCCACAAGTGCCGAGCCGCTCCTCTACGCGGCATCTCCTCGTAGAGGACAGCCCTCACGCTGCCAACGTGCTGCTAGCAGCGTTCTGGAAGCATCCCTGCGCTGCTGGCAGCAAAACGACGCTGGCAGCATCATTAGATGCTGCCAGCACAGAGGAATATTGCCAGCGGTGGCAGCTCCCTCACGTGGCAAGTGTGGGCGCTGCATGCATCACCACCGAGGTCGGCCTGTTTCAATGAATCTGGTCTCTGGGTGTTTTCTACACACTTTGCAAGTGTTACAGTCAACTTAAAAAATTTTCCATTTATAAGACTTATAAGACACCCTATACCATCCCGTTTACAAGATAACTCAAGCATTTTTGCCCGTGTATGAGATAAGACATATATGTCTTATATCCGGGCGATGACGGTATCATACTGTAACCCCTCCGCATAAAATACCTCCCATAAAGAGTCATATCCATTCAAGTAAGTAAAAAAGTGTTTTGAAATCAGACCATGAACTCTTATGATAACAAGAGCCCTGTTTTTGGCGACTTCAAGTTCAAAAATCTTGAACTTGAATAATACCATGTTGTTTTCGGGCTTTAGGCATTTCAAGAATACTAATGCCCGTACTACCCAGTCCAGGCATTTCGAGATAAGCTTTTCTCAGGATTCGGATGAGCAGCTTCATTCATTGCGATTGTTCAAAGTCCATTCTCTCGCGTGAGTTGAACTCCGTTTCACTCCTCATCCCCCACCTTGTCCACCTTCTCCTCCCCCCCGTCCGCCCGACCACACATTTCTTCTTCCTCCTCCCTTCTTGCATTCCCATCTCTGCCACCCACTCCATACCCAAACCCCAGTCCGCACGTGAAACAACTCACTAGCCCTGCCTTGGTGCGCACATAGTGCACCTGGGTTGATAGGGCTTCCAGATGCTGCCACACACACGCCGGGAAATGTTGGATGGACATGAGTGAGGCGGGGGTAATGAAAAAGAGGGAAGAGTGGGTGGGAAAGACCGGGCAGAAAAGTTGGGATGACTAAGATTTGGTGGGAAAGAGTGGATGGCAGAAAGGGACAAGATTGGGAGGAGCGATGGGAAAGAGTGAGGACAAAAGGGGGACAGAAATAGAGAGGCTCAAATGCTTCGCCGTAGTGAGAAGGTGAGGGAGAGGAGAGTGGGTGAGAACGAAATAGATGGAGTGGAAGCTGAAAGGGGTGGGAAGTGACGCTTGCAGCATGAGTTGTGGGAAGGATATTGTACGCGAGGAAGGGGGAAAGCAAGTAAAGGGGAAATCAAGGTAAGGGGAAATCAAGGAAAGAGGAAATCAAGGAAAGGGGAAATCAAGGAAAGGGGAAATCAAGGAAAGGGGAAATCAAGGAAAGGGGAAATCAAGGAAAGGGGAAATCAAAGAAAGGGGAAATCAAGGAAAGGGGAAATCAAGGAAAGGGGAAGTCAAGGAAAGGGGAAATCAAGGAAATGGGAAATCAAGGAAAGAGGAAATAAAGGAAAGGGGAAATCAAGAAAGGGGAAATCAAGAAAGGGGAAATCACGGAAAGGGGAAATCAAGGAAACGGGAATGAAAGGAAAGAGGAAAGCAGCAAGGAGGCAGGGAATGGAGATGGAAGAGAGAGTGACGGAAGGAGAGAGGAAGTGATGGAGGACAGGAGGGGAACAGAGTACAGAAAGGGCACGGTGTCAGAACATTATAGCTTATGCTGTTGTGTAGGCTATAGTGGGGTATCCCATAGGGGGTACAACCCAATTAGGGTTTCATATTTGTACTCACTTCATTCATAGCTCGTTCATTCTCGTTCACTTCTTCTCATGGTGACAGAGCACGCCGCACCATTACCCTGACTCAGTCACACATGGTGCAGCAGGTCCTTCAGCGCTTCGGCTTCACGTACTCCTCGCCTCAGGCCACTCCTCTGCCTACTCGCCACTCGCTCTCAGCTCTGCCTTCGGATGAGTCCGTAGAGTCGAGTGGCCCGTATGCAGAGCTTGTTGGCTGCCTCATGTACCTGATGACCTGCACACGACCTGACCTTGCATACCCTCTTAGCATTCTCGCACGCTATGTTGCTCCTGGGAGACACCGACCAGAGCACATGGCTGCAGCGAAGAGGGTGTTGCGCTACTTGTGCAGTACGTCGGGCATAGGGCTAGTGCTTGGAGGGCGCAGTCCAGTGGTCCTCACTGGGCACGCGGACGCTTCTTGGGCTGACGACCAGGCTACGCAGCGGTCGTCACAGGGTTACACCTTCAGCCTTGGTTCCGGCTCTGTTTCGTGGCAGGCTACCCGCTCGTCTTCTGTTCTCGGCTCCAGTTGTGAGGCTGAGATCTACGCCGGGGCTATGGCTGCCCAGGAGCTTCGCTAGCTCACCTACCTGCTGTCTGACCTTGGAGAGCCGCCTCGTTCTCCTCCAGTCCTGTACGTAGACAACAAGGCCATGCTGGCCTTGTGTCGAGAGCAGCGACTGGAGCACAGGACTAAGCACATTGCTCTCCGCTACTTTCTTGCTCGTGAGCTACAGCAGCGTGGACAGTTGCGACTTGCGTACGTGGCCTCTGAGGCCAACACTGCTGATGTCTTCACCAAGGCACTTGCGCCTTGTGATCATCAGCGTTGCTGCATGCAGCTGGGTCTTGTGCCTGTCTTGCCTCACTTGCTCACTTCTTGACCTTGCTTGTACCTTCTCCTATATATACTCTTGCTTGCTTGACTCTTGTATATCTCTATATATGATCTTGCATGTGAACTGGCCTTCTGGCCTTTGAACTTGTGCTCGGAATGTGTGGTGACTTTGTGATCCACCCTGAGCTTTGCTTTGCTTTGCTTGACTGGTCTTGTGACCCCTTGTTCTCCCCCACTTTGCCCATGGGGGTGTGTCAGAATATTATAGCTTATGCTGTTGTGTAGGCTATAGTGGGGTATCCCATAGGGGGTACAACCCAATTAGGGTTTCATATTTGTACTCACTTCATTCATAGCTCATTCATTCTCGTTCACTTCTTCTCACACGGAGGGGGGATTAGGAAGTGAGAGAGGAGAGTGGGAAGGGTCGACATCAAGCGGGTGGTGGGGAGGGACGGATGTAAGGAGAGAGGGAATGAGGGAACGACGGAGCCAAAAAGGAAGGGCGGGAGGAGGGGGGAGGGGGCAAGGGGGGGGTGGGGGGAGAGGGAGGGGGGGTGAGGGGGAGGTAGGAGAAGCAGGGAGGGTCGGAGTGAAAATTGGAGGGAATATAACGCCTTTCTAAGCCACAGCGGCAAAACAGGGGTTGTTTAAAGGAACGGCGGTTGCCGTTTAACCCCTTTTGTATAAGGCCGCAGGACTTACACCCGTCCGTCCTCGTTGGCGCCTTCGCAGGCGCTGTGCCTTGGAGTTCTTGCTATGACCATTTGGTTGGAGGCGGAGAAAATGACCTATCGAGATTCGGACTCCAGGTTCTGATTCACTCTGAACACTAAACCCTAAACGGTCTGCAAGACCACTGGGCCAGAATAGGGGTGCTTCAGACGCGCAGCGGTCCCATTCTTCGTGTAAGCCCGGAGGCGTTACACAGAGAGAGGGTGGAGAAAAGGAGGGAAGGATTGGAAGAAAGTGCGACCGAGTAAGAGTGAAAAAAGGTAGACGGGTAAGTTGCGAGGAGACGGGGACGCCCACTCACCCCCGTCATGCGTGCAGCCGAGCCATCTGATGTGCGAGCTCGCTTGCACCTTTCCGTCCGCCGTGCTTGCAACTCGAGCTGCACATCTTCCTGCCACGCCTTTCGAATCGTCCTCAGCAAGGCCAGCAACTCCTCGGCCGCGTCGTTCAACTCCCTCACCTCCTCCCTCGCCCTCGCATTGTCGCCCTGCAAATCCATCAGCTCCTCCTCCTGCGCCTCTGCCCTCGCCACAGCTACAGCAACTTGCTTCTCCATATCCCTCATCGTATTTCTGTCTTCCTCTCTCAACCTAGTAATTGCTTCCTCCCTCTCCCTCGCTTCCTCTCTCAATATCTTTTCCCTCTCCGCCATTCTCGCCGTTTCCTCAACCTCCACGGCGCGCAGCACGCACCATCGGCTCACACCCATCAGCTGCTCCAACGACAGCTCCTCCGCACTCCCCGCCCCTCCGCCCATCATGCTGCTCCCCGTCCCTCCGCCCATCATGCCGCTCCCCGCTCCTACTCTTATCATGCCGCTCACGCGCATCGCCACATCGGCTTGCCGCGGCCGCGTATGCCTTCCGCCTTCGCCCTCTTGTCTCGATTCCGCACCTCCCGCCTCCGCGCCTTCAGCATTCTCCGCTGTCGCGACCTCCTCCACCAGCATCTGCGCCTCTCCGCCATTCTGCGGTTCTTTGCCTTTCTGAGGCTCTTCGCCTTTTTGCGCTGCCTCTCGCCGCCTGCATTGCCGCAAGGGATCAAACCGTTTGCCATCTATCGTTAGACGTTGCTGCTGCTCCGGGGTAACAGGACAAAACATTTGCTGACATTCTCTCTGCGTTTGTAAAGCCTCTCTTTTCTGCTTTACCGCCCCCGTACGTGCTGCTTCCATTGCACCTCACCCTACCAGAGCCGTGCCAAGGCCGGAAAGGCGGCCCTGAAACGCGACTCTGAAATGCTATCGAGCGGTGAGAATGAACTAGGAGTAACGATCAGAGACGAAGCAAACGAAATTACAAAATACTATTGCCATAGAAACACGAACTCGGGAAAATGGGATGCCAACAGTGCTAACGGCATGTGATAATGGCGCTTGTAGAAATTGGAGGGAATGGAAACTGAGAAGGTGCGGAACTGGGGGAGGGAGGGAGGGGAGGGGCAATGCGGGAATTGGCGCTTGAATTTTCGAACATTCAGAACTGCAGAATTTAGGAGCGCCTGTATTCGTTTTGAGGATAGCGGAGCTGAGAAATTAGAGTCCTGACAAAAAAGCGCTTCTAAAAAAAATCGCGTCATACACACGTGTAGATGGAGATTATGAAGTTCCATAACATACAAAATGAAATAGTTATATGGGCCTAATCAACGAATGCGGGGTTCTTTGCAGTTTCTGTCAGAGTATTATAGCTGATGCATGTTTGTAGGCTATAGTGGGGTAGCACATATGGGGTACAGCTTTCTAGGGTTGTATTTGTACCCAACTCTGACTTAGTCATTCCCATTCCTGTTTTCCTTGCTTCACATGGTATAGAGCGGGTCCTGCCTTAGGACCGTTTTTTTTAGGGCCCACCGAAGCGCGCCCCGAGGCGCGCCCTTTTTTTAGCGACCCCTCGGGTCGCCTTTTCCCTCGCGGCCCCGCTGTCCCTCAGACGCGGCCCCGCCACCTCTCCTGATCGCGGCCTCGCCGCCTACTTGACGCGGCCCCGCCGCCTCCCCTGACGCGGCCCCGCCGCCTCCCCTGACGCGGCCCCGCCGCCTCCCCTGACGCGGCCCCGCCTCTACTGCCGCGGCCCCGCCGCCGCCTCTGACGGCCCCGCCGCTGCACCCTACGGCCCGCCGCTGCACCCTACGACCCGCCGCTGCTCCTGCCGGCCCGCCGCCTCACCTGACAGCCCCGCCGCTGCTCCTGCCGGCCCGCCGCTGCTCCTGCCGGCCCGCCGCTGCACCTGCCGGCCCGCCGCTGCACCCAGCGGCCCGCCGCCTCTGACGGCCCCGCCGCTGCACCCTACGGCCCGCCGCTGCTCCTGCCGGCCCGCCGCCTCACCTGACGGCCCCGCCGCTGCACCTGCCGGCCCGCCGCTGCACCCTACGGCCCGCCGCTGCACCCTACGGCCCGCCGCCTGCACCTGCCGGCCCGCCGCTGCACCTGCCGGCCCGCCGCTGCACCTGCCGGCCCGCCACTGCACCGGTCGACCCGCCGCTGCACCTGACGGCCCCGCCCCTGCATCTCCCGGCCGAGCCGCCCCAGCAGCCGAACCGCCCGGGAGCCGAGCCGCCCAACGCCGAGCCGCCCGGGGCCCGAGCCGCCCTGCAGCCGAGCCGCCCTGCACCCGAGCCGCCCAGCAGCCGAGCCGCCCGGGAGCTGAGCCGCCCTGCGCCCGAGCCGCCCAGCCGCCGAGCCGCCCGGGAGCCGAGCCGCTGTGCACCCGAGCCGCCCGGTCGCTGAGCCGCCTTTCTGCATAGCTGCACGACCTGCCCTGCCTGGTGAGCACAGTCCCACTGACACTGCGAGCTCTTTCCCTACTGCTTGCACTACGTCGCTGTCGTCGCCATGGCTACCCCTAGTGTCCTAGCTTTTGACGCTGAGGGTCGCGCCATTGATTTTGAGGTCTGGTTAGACGACCTGCAGCTGTTCTTACAGTGCGACAGGGCTGACGACCTTTCTCTCTTTGACCTCACCTCTGGCGCCTCTCCTGCTCCTGCTGCTGATGCTGATCCCGCTGTCCACTCTAAGTGGGCCACCCGCGATGCTGCTGCACGTCTTGCTGTGCGTCGCCACCTCCCTACCTCTGAGCGTGCGCACTTTAGTCAGTACAAGAGTGCTCAGACCTTGTACGACGCTGTAGTTGCGCGCTACTCCTCCCCTGCCACTGCTGCACTGAGCCGTCTCATGCTTCCCTACCTCTTTCCTGACCTCTCTGCCTTTCCCACTGTCGCTGACCTCATTACGCACCTCCGCACTAGTGACACTCGCTACCGCGCCGCCCTTCCTGCTGAGTTCTGCGCTAAGAACCCCCCCCCCATGTACATCGCTCTCTACTACGTAGTCGCGCGCCTCCCTGACTCCCTTCGCGTCGTCAGGGACCACTTTCTCGCAGTCTGTCCCACCACCCTCACCGTCGACGTCCTCGAGAAGGCCCTCCTCGCAGCGGAGAAGAGCATAGTCGCTGTAGGTGCTTCTCGTGGTGACCCTCGCACCCCCATCTTTGAGGGGTGCTCTCCTTCCCCCTTGCTGCCCTCTGTTGCCTCTGCTGCTGCTGCCGACCTGCTTGGTCTTGAGTCGGTCGGCGCGGCGTCTGCCCCTAGTGGGAGACGTCGCTCCAGCAAGGGCAAGGGGGGCAAGGGCGCGGGTGGAGCTGGAGGGGGCGGTGGCGGTGGCGGCGGTGGCGGCGGAGGGAGTGGGGGTGGCGGCGGGACTAGTGGTGGAGGTGGTGGTGGTGGTGGCAGCAGTGGCGGAGACGGTGGTGGTGGTGCCAGCGGTGAAGGTGGAGGCAGCGGCGGTGGTGGAGGCGGCGGAGGTGGAGGCGGTGGAGGCGGCAGCGGAGGAGGCGGTGGTGGTGGAGGAGGTGGAGCTGGTCGAGGTGGTACCTTGCAGCGTAGCGGCGGTGGTGGTGGCCAGCGCTCGCAGCGGCAGCAGCAGCAGCGCTCGCGGGACATCCCTCCGCCTCAGCAGCTTCGTGAGTGGTACGCTGGGCGTCAGAGGGGTGGGGGTACTGGTCCCTGCACCTACGTTCTTCGTTCCGGCGACCGCGCGGGTGAGCAGTGTGGGGGTGCCCACGCCACCCAGCGCTGCTTTGGCCGCCTGACGGACGCTTGGCGTCAGCAGTTCCCTGGGGCTAGTGAGATCCCTCGCTGGGATGAGCTTCTTAGGGCTGGTGTAGCGATCTTTGATCTTGATTTTGATGCTATCCTTGCTGCTATGTATGTTGTGGATTATAGTGAGGAGAATGAGGGTTACCGTTGTTTCCAGCCCGACCCGGGCATTGGTACTGCTGCGCTAGGTGCTTGTGAGGCTGCTGCTCTAGGTGCCAGTGCGTCTGTGCTCTCAGGTACTGGTGAGACTGCGCTCTCAGGTACTGCGTCGTCCTCGTCCTCCCTCACTTTCACACTTGACTCCGGAGCTTCTCGCTCCTTCTTTCGAGACCGCACTACCCTTACGCCGCTCGGCCGGCCGGTTGCGGTCTCCCTTGCTGACCCCTCTGGGGGTCCTGTCCTGTCTCACTTCTCCACTGTCCTCCCGTGTCCGGCTGCCCCTTCGGGCACCCTGTCGGGTCTGTACCTTCCCTCGTTCTCTACGAACTTGGTGAGTGGAGCGGACCTGCAGGATGTGGGGGTTCACCAGTTCACTCCTGCGAGTCAGCGGGTGACCCACTGCACGGAGGCACGCACAGGCCGACACCTGGCCACGTTCTCGCGTCGGCCGGGGTCGAGTCTCTACACCCTGACCGTTGAGTCTCCTCCTGTCCCTGCGTCTGGTCAGGTGGCTGCGTCGGGTCAGGTGCTTGCTGCTGCGTCCCGGTCAGGTCCTGAGTCTGCCCCCTGTTCTTGTCGCCTCCTGTCTCACGAGACTCTCCTGTGGCACCACCGTCTTGGCCACCCCTCCTTGCCCCGTCTTCGGAGCATGGCTTCCCGTGTCCTTGTCTCTGGTCTTCCCTAGTCTCTCCCTCCTCTCCCCTCCGGGCCAGGACCTTCCTGTGTCCCCTGTGTCGAGGGTCGCCTCCGGGCTACTCCTCACTCCTCCCACTTCCCCCCGACAGAGGCTCCCCTGCAGACGCTTCACATGGATGTGTGGGGCCCAGCCCCCGTCCGTGGGCAGGGTTACGAGCGCTACTTCCTGTTGGTGGTTGACGACTACTCGCGTTACACCACAGTCCTCCCCTTGCGCAGCAAGGGTGCGGTCACTGAGGTGCTGATCGACTGGATCCGCGAGGCTCGTCTCCAGCTCAGGAAGAGCTTCGGCTCAGACTTTCCTGTTCTGCGTCTGCACTCTGACAGAGGCGGAGAGTTCTCTTCTCGCCTTCTGCGGGACTACTGTCGTGCACGGGGGATCCGCCAGACCTTCACGCTTCCGGACTCACCACAGCAAAATGGGATTGCTGAGCGCCGCATTGGCATGGTCATGGATGTCGCTCGTACGTCCATGATGCATGCGGCTGCCCCCCATTTTCTGTGGCCGTTTGCGGTGAGGTACGCGGCGCATCAACTCAACCTTCACCCCCGGGTCTCTCGGCCTGCGATGTCCCCAGCCTTGCTGTGGACGGGGAAGGTTGGCGATGCGTCTGTGTTCCGTGTCTGGGGATCTCGGGCGTTTGTCCGCGACTTGTCTGCGGACAAGCTGTCCCCTCGTGCTGCTCCCTGTGTCTTCCTTGGCTTCCCCACTGACGCCCCAGGGTGGCAGTTTTACCACCCCTCCTCTCGTCGTGTTCTGTCCTCCCAGGACGTCACGTTCGACGAGTCAGTCCCCTTCTACCGTCTCTTCCCCTACCGCACTCCTTCCCTCCCCCCTCCCCCGGACTTCCTTGTGCCGGTTCCCCCCCCGGTAGACCCCCTCCCCCCTCAGGTTCCTGCCCCCTCAGGTGTGTCCCAGGTAGACGCCGTTGACCCGGTCGAGGCTACTGGTGACTCTGGTGCTGCTGCGGGTGCTGAGCCTGGGGGTGCTGACTCTGGGGGTGCTGTGCGCGGGGGTGCTGGGCCTGAGGGTGCTACTGCGGAGGGTGCGGAGCCTGGGGGTGCTGAGCCGGGGGGTGCTGTGCCTGGAGGTGCTGGGTCTGGGGGTGCTGGGTCGGGAGCTGCTGAGACTGGGGGTGCTGAGCTGGGAGC